AAGAGAGAGATGGCGTGGGCTCTCACGCTTGGGGTGGCTGCATAGGTGTCGTGCAGTGCCAGGACATTGCCGATCTCGCAAACACATGCAAGCCGGCTCAGGCTGGCACCGTCGCCCTATCGGCAAGCGACGACAGGAAGACGACATGCTGTTCGCGGGGGAAAGAAGCGCCAAGATCAAGGCGGATATTCGCGCCGCAGCGCCGCCAGCAATGGAGGAGAACGCCCCGCCTGCACGAGGAACTGCTTGTGGCTGGCAGGTTGCGCGCAGAGCGCCGAGCTGGGCTTCACGCACTACGCCAGCGAGCGGACCGCGGTCTACGGCCTCCAGTGTGCTTAAGTCATCGACGGAGCTGCTGCATTGCAGTGCCGGTGCCGATCGCTTGCACCTGGACTTGACGTCGCTCGAGGAGGCCGCTCATGGATCGCATCGCGTCACCTTCCGCACGGACGACTACACGTCGGCCGTATACGAGCGCCTGTCCGACTTCTCGCCCCTTACGGAGCTTCACGCCTCAGCGCGATCCCCTGTGCGGGTAGCGGCATATGCGCACGACAGGTTTCGCAGCGAGCGAAGTCTTGCTCGAGGACGTTGGGCAAGTCGCCATGAACCGCAGCTGCTCGAGCCGGTCTGGCGCTGCGCAGAAAGCAGAGTAGGCTCAGACTTTTAGCGCCAAGTAGGTTGGGACTCCACGTTAGCCGATCCACGAGCGGCGTCGCTGCAGGGTGCAGCGGTGGCTGGTGCCAGTGATGGTGACGCGACGGCTTGTTGAGGCGGTGCGGGGTTGGCGGGTGGCGCGGCGGCATGGGGGGGAGAGGCGGGGTCGGCGGGCCTCGACAGCGGAGCAAATCGCGGCTCCGCCGGACCCGCCGCGCGCCCGCCGCACTGTCCACAAGTTCGCCCGTCCCGCTCCTGAGCCGCTTGCCCGTAGGGGGCGCTGGTCGGAGACGCACAAGCTCGCCGGACACGAGCTCGGCCGCCGCCCACAGGCACCGCGACCGCGGCCGCTCTCGCAGCCCGCCCCGCCGCCTCTCCCCCCGCGGCTCGCCGCGCGGTCTGCACGGATCCGAGACGGCGAGCCGAGAGGGCGGAGGGGCGAAGGCGGCGCGAGGGGGGTGGGCGAGGTAGGTGGTGCTGCCGCAGTCAGTCTACCGGTTAGGAGACTCAGCATCGGGACGAGCCCACTTGGCGTTTCTGTCTTGACCGTTTAGGAACTTCGGGTAGCCCCGAATCGCCTAAAGTATTATTTTGTTTTCTAGGGTAGAAACTTGCATACGAATTCTGTAACATTCCACTCTTTCGAGTATTGACCTATACCTTTTCTTTCCATTTCATTACGCCAAGTGAGTTTGTTAGATCATCAAGAATGAGAAGTTAGTCCGTGTTCTTGTAAAATTCGTGTTGGACGTTTTGAATACATATGTTGGCTTTGGGTCCGTGAGAGGCACTGAGATATAACTCAAAGTTGCGGTAGCGCATTGTCTTGTGTTTTGGGCCGAGAAATATTGTGCGCTAACTAGTGTTTAGTTGTCGACTCATTCTACTTGTGACTTTGTACTCTGTCCGCCGCCGCCTCCGCCACCGCACGTACTCCTCCGCCTCCTCCGCTCACTCAGGACACACCGCACGGCCCAGGCAAAGGATCCATCGACTAATTATCAATAATTAATGGATCGAGATAATATATTATGTATATTAATACTATACATGATATAATTTCTAATTATAGGGAGAATCGTTCGCATTACTGATTATAAGTAATTTAAAGAGTTTGGGAAAGTGCAAAGATGCATCTTTGCGCTCGAAAGGGCCAACGGAAATGTTCCGCCCACTCCAATCATTGCTAAAAGATGACCAAGTGAGTGGGGTGTCAATTTTGGAAAACGTGAGCCTGCATAGGCGAGAAGCTTGTGGGAGCGGGCTGAGCGGGTAGTGGGCGTTGGGCACTGGGCGCTGGACGTTGGGCGTTGGGCGCTTGGTGTTGGCACTTAGGGGTTTGGCACCTGGCGCTGAACGCTGGGCGCTGGCAGTCGTCGTTCGGTGTGGGCGCTGGGGCGCTGGGCTCTGGGCGCTGGAAGCTGCTGGCGCTGGGTGTTGAGCGCTGGGGTGCTGGCGCTGGGCGCTGAGAGGCTGGGCGCTGGCGCTGAGCGTGGGCCTTTGCGCTGGGGCTGGCACTGGGGCTGGCATGGGCGCTGACACTGGGCGCTGGGCACTGGCGCTGGGCGCTGGTCTCTGAGCGCTGGACGTGGACGATGAGCGCTGGGCGCTGGGTGCTGAGCGCTTGGTGCCGGCACCAGCACTCGGCGTGTCGGCTCTGGTCGCTGGCGCGCTGAGCGCTTGAAACTCGCTGGGCGCTGTGGCGCTGGGCGCTGGGCGCTGGGCGCGCTGGCGGCGCTGGGCGCTGGGCGCTGGGGCTGGGCGCCTGGGCGCTGGGGCTGGGCGCCAGCGCACATCGGCGCTCGGCGGCCCACGCTCTGCGCGAGCCACTCGGCTGCTTACGGCAGCGGAACCAAACTCTCGCTCGTAGTGGTAAACATTAAAGAAGTATTTACCCATTGTATTGTAAGTAAGGAGGGCAAAAAATTGATGTTATTAAAACATCGATGTTTGAAGACATTGATAATTGCGACCTCAAACGTCGATATTATAATATCGATGTTTTGCTTTCGATGTTTCTGTTCAGAAACATGGATGTTTTCAAAAAAGTCTCATGATAGGAATAAAATTTCCAGTATCTATTTTTTATAGATTGCTTGCAAACAACAACCATTTACAACTGTCACAGTTATCGATCCTCAGAGAGCAGGAAACCATTTATTTTCGCAACCTTTCTTTGATTATATTTTACGTAGTAATATCATTAAACTGCATTTTGAACCTTTCGTACATTGACTAGGAAATAAGCTCTTACTCTAGCCACCTCCCCAATTAAGATGACAGTCAAAAATGTAAAGCAGAATATATATTAACTAGTAATGTGTTACGTATCACATTAGAACCAGGGCAGTTTTCTTCTATTTTTCCATTTGTTTCATCACACACATATATATTATATATATATATATATATATATATATATATAATCAATATTTTAAACAAGGAAGTTTTTGATGATGTTTTCATCATCTTCGAAATCCTTTTGTTGATTTGACATTGTTTGGCTAACATTTGCCATCACTACCCGTAAAGGGCAATCGGCCTCGGTGCAGTTAGATCCTGGGGTTTCTAGCTGGTCACCCAACCAGGGACCCGCGATGTCTTGAATTCGTTTAATCTTCGTGACTTCACGTAGTTAACGCATTCGGCATTCAAGTGTGTTGCCACAGCAATCCCAAAATTTTCCGACGAAAAATTGTAATTGCCCTTGAGATTTCTGTCGCCGCTCAATCTTAAGAACCCTTACAACGCCTAAGGGCGTGCATAAATATAAATCTTTATTAATATTTTGGCATACTATAATGTCAGAATACTATTCCAATTAAACGAGATAACAGACATCATTTCAGTAAAAGTTTCACATTTCCATTGTTACAAAAAAAAAGGAAATACTAATTAAATCAATTATCCTTCCCACCAAAATCTGGCCATAACTTACTGATGAGGACTCTGGGGACGTCCAGCTCCTAGCTAAATTAAAGTAATCCAAAATATATTCCTGAGAAATATTGTAAATGCTCTCTGGTTCATTACTAATGAACTTCACCGGGAATTAAAAATATCAAAACAAGAAGAAAGCATAGCCAAATTAGCAGACAACTTTAACAATAATCTGCATACCTCCCCAAGTATCATAATTTTTAACACGGGGAAAATGCAGTATAAAATACCCACGTATAAAATCAAGATTTACGAAAGAGGTATTGAAATCCCCCGTAAACCACAACACCCTGAACTCCTTAACATAAGCATTGGCCATCCTCTTCTTAATTAAGAAACAAATTTAATTGTCAACTAACTGAGAGTGCAAACCGCTCGAATCTTATGGACGGTCAATCCAAAAATGTTATTGAGTAATCTTACGCACTATTAAAACCCTTGAAAAACTGTATTTTCAGACCCGAAAAAATTACAAAATAGAAAAAGGAAGGCAGAGGACAGCGTGCAAATGTCGCCCAGAAAGAGGCGTAATGGGGGGAGCGGGCGGCGGGGGTACGCACCGTTTGAGCGGGTCGCGCAGCGCCTCGAAGGCGTCCCTCTCGCGGTCGCGCCGCAGCCGCGCCTCGCGCTCCTTGTCCTGGCCCAGCAGGCGGCGGCGGTCCGACACCGCCGACTTGATCTCGTCTCGCAGCTGCTCCTTGAGGTTGCGCAGGCAGCTGGGCAGCTGCAGCAGCAGCGGCGGGCGGGGGCGCGCGGCGCTGAGTGCGCGGGCGGGGCGCGGGTGCCGGGCCCCCGCCCAGGCCCCCTCAACCCGCACGCGCGGCTCACCGAGGGCGCAACCCCGCGCCACGCGCCACACGCACGCCCGCTTCTAAGCGCTCGCGGAGCCTCGCTCAAGCGAGCTAAGGCATTTGGTGAGCACGGACCTACTATTCCACGTGTGACTATGGCATGTGACTATGTGACTATTCCACGTTCAGACAATGAAGCCTCCGCACTCAGCCCGAGACTCAGGTTATGAGTTACACAGAAGCTCATTCATCTAAGCACCACAAAAATTTAAATAATGTGCCATAAGAAATGTTAAAAATTTCTTGAGCATGTAGTGGGTTCGAAGATGATTCTTTCTTGCCAATGAACATGCGTTGGGAAATGTCATATAACGAAGTTACACATGTGATTTTTGCCCTAGACTGGAAGGAAACACATTCCCTGGGCTTTGACGTACATTTGAAATCTTTTTGACTCCTTCACGCCATGACATGCCATACCAGTGCACCCGCCAATCAGAATCAACCATTAAATGATATATTTCACGTAACTTCATTACACGAAACTTCACACTTCATGTTCATTGGAAAAATGTTATAATCTTCCACCCCCTACATGCTGTAGAACCCTATAACGCCTGAGACACCTGGATTATAATTGCATTAATTTTAAAAATGAGAATCGGCAATCAAAATTCCACGAATGACATCCCTGTAGTAAATAGAACAGACGCCGCGCACGCGCTTTCTTGGAGGCATTTAGGCCGGTCCTCGTGCGTGGCGAGGGGCCGCGTCCTTCGTGAGCCGCGCGTTCAGCACCGCAGTTGCAGGGGCCTGCCCCGCCCAGCAGCCCGCCCGCCCGCCGCACGCGCGCCGCTCACCTGTTTGCCGTACGACACGGTGTCCGCGATGCCCGTGGAGCCCAGCAGGTGGCGCAGGTCCGGTGGCAGGCACGACGCCAGGTCGGCCAGCGGCGACGAGTACACGGAGGTGGTGCGCGTCAGGTCGGCGGCGCTGATGCCGGGGCCCGAGCGCATGCCCGAGCTGCTCACGACGCTGGACGCTGCGCCGCACAAGAGGCCCTTGAGGGCTACAGCCAGGTCTCGAGCCCAGCGCGGGCACACAAGTGCTACTTTGGGATAGTGAGTGATTAGTGATTTCGGGCGCGTCAACGGCTAATTCAATAGTCCCCCAAGTGTAGTGTATGTTTTTCGCGGGAGGTAGTGATGTTCTTCCCCGCTGGATGTCGAGAACCGGCGCCAACCTATCGTTGGCTAATGGGCTTTCCCCTAAACAGGTATCTCCCATCAGCGGGCCACTGCCTCAGCCAGAGCAAGCTCTAAGCTCCCGATCGGTCTTCCGGTATGAGTGGTTGTTTAGTGCATGTAAGCGTTAGTGTGTGTACATAAGGGTTGAGGATATGACAAGGAAGAGGAAGGAAAAGCCCGTCCGTGGCCCGTCTCTTTCCATGTGTGGTGGTGTAATGCATGTAAGTGTGTGTGTGTGTAAGTAATGTTTGAGGATTGAACAAGGAAGAAGAAGGAAAATTTGCGAGCGGTCCGTGGCCCATCTCCCAGCGTGTTTCGTACTGTATTAAGTACTGTAAGTGTAAGTGTAAGTAAGGGGAGATGATAGGATAACGAAGAAGAAGAAAAGATCACACACGGTCCGTGGCCCGTTGTTAGGGTACTGCTCTGGTATTCACCTACTATTGATCGCAGAAATCACGAAAAACTACCGATCAGAGCAGCCGGCGCTAGAATGTTCCTGCAGACAGAGGCGAAATTCGACCTAGCTATTTAGCCAGTGTCGAAAACCCTGGACCCTGGTCTGATTTTGGATATTGTAAGGTAGAATATTCCTGTCAGTCGCCACTCACATACTCAACCAATAATTACATCCATAAATTAACAAGCCGGCACAAGTCGGTAGCCGAACCGGAACCATTATCTGGATGTCACGGAGGGACCGTCTCCGTACCCCGAATGTTAACAGCGTCGAGCCTCTGACCGATAGAGATAAAAGGCAATGACTACATTCTAAGAGAATTACTTCACGAACCCCATGAATTTAAACATTTAATAATTTATGACTACTTTCAAAGATAATTGCTCCACGTGCAATGCTGAATAAAGACTTGGAACATTGTTTAAAAACAATAGCTGCTTGTAAATGTAAATGGATCACTTAAATATTTATTTGTTAATAGTTAAAAGATAAATATTGAATTTTACTCTAAAAGATCGATGTTTAACATGAAATGTAATATCTCGTATGCTTTTTTAATTTTCATAAGTTGACAATACTAATATATGATGGAGTGACTTCCTGGACATCCTTCGGGACCCCCTTCTCGCGGGTTAGAGACTTCGGACGGTGAGTGGCCTGGGTGATCGCAGGGTTGAAAGCCCGTCGACGATCGCGGGGACGAGAGCGAGGGACGTAATTGAACTCCGGGTGATCGTTAAGTGAGCGCGAGGGCCGTGAATGGCCGGAGAGTGATCGGTTGATGAGCGCGGAATGTAAGTGATCCTTGAGCGATACGGAGAGAGGTCAGGCGGAGAGTGGCTTACAATGCTTGTTGCTTACTGGCCCAGACGATCATTTAGAGAGCATGAACCGGCTGTTTGCTGAGGAAGTGGTTCATGAACGAACGCGCGGATGAGCGAGTTGGATGTAAATGGCCCCTAGGTGATCGTCGATTGAGTGCGAGGGCCGTAAATGGACACCCCCTCCCAGAGCGGTCGGTGGTCGGCTGGATGAGCGCGGGATGTAAGTGGCCCCTGGGCGATACGGAGAGAGGTCGGGCGGTGTGTGGCTTACAATGCATAGCGACTTGAGCGGAAGGACGTCGCGTGGTTCGTGCGTGAGTGTGTGCGGGAGGGCGGGAGGCGGCTAACTTACCCTGCAGCAGGCCGAGCGCGGAGCCGGGCCGCGGGACGGGGTCTGCGCCCAACGCGATCTTGCGCAGGTTCGTCTCGCTCGCGCTCTGGCGCGCCAGCATGAGGTTGGAGGTGCGCGGCAGAATGTCGTCGAGCGACGTCTGTCGCAGCGGCGAGTACGACCTGTGGGCACGCATGGCCGGCGTGGGTGTCTGCAACCGCGTGCACGCTAAGGGGCGAGGGATACGTGCATGCGGAAGCAGGCGGCTTTCCAAGTTCCACAGGCGCCGCAAGTCTTCTTCGCTTGTTACTGCGATCCGGGAGGCTCGTGCCTTATTGTCGGGATGTCGCAGCGTTCATTCTAGAGGAAGAAATGTAGGTCCCATGCAGACCTACGTCACTTCAAACAATTTCATGTTCAAGAAATAATGCTAAGGTAAATCATTATCCAAAAGTGGCACAGATGGCTCCATAATCTGAATCTGGAATGTAGAATGAACATAATATGAGAAAGTGTACATACGGATTTCGAAATTTGGTAATGACTTGTCGCAAGTCCTTACCAAATTTTGTTACAATACATTAATGTTTCCCTTTTGAACGTCGACTACAATGAATATTTGCACAATTCTAATTTATTTACCAGCTACTTTAATTTAGTTTTGAATTATTTTCAAATGTAGGAATCGCCATGTGACAAAATGAGTTCGACACTGTCCAAATTTGAATTCAGCCTGCGTGCTTCTACGCTGATGAAATTTGATTAGTGATCTTGTAGGTCTTGTGAAATATTGAGGGATTTATTTCTACAATACTTAAGTAAGTAAAATTTAAGTTTCATAAAATAGTGGTAGATTTTTTTGAATCTTAGAAGTATGTGTAAATATTAATTGGATGAACATGTATAAAATATGAGTTAACAGGGTTCTAATTGCTATTTTATCCAGACATCAAACGTTGCTAGCAGGAAATAGATGCCTTCACGAAAAACATAAAATACGAGAACAGAAGAAATAATTTTACTTATATAATATATTAGGATATTAAAATATCCTAATATAATGTATATTAATATAATTCTTCTTGAATCCCGAGATTTATTCCTTTATTAAGGCAATCAAACCTAAGTTCTTCGGAAGATAGTTCATATAATAAATGATAAAATACTTATATTCTTATAAAAAGTTCGTTTTATATGAGTAGTTTCTGAAGAACTGGGGTTTGAATGTTTTAAATAGAACGATATAGCTCCTAAGTAAAATAAATAACTGTTTTACCCTAATTTTTAACCGCCTTTGAAAGAAGTAGGTTACGAAATTCTTGAATTAAAGGAAATGTTTAGACACACTTTTTGCAAATGTGCTCTAATTTAAAATATTTATCTCTGCTATAAAGGGTATAATCTCCCAGCAATACCACGATAATTTAATGATACTCTGATAATGGGTTAGATATGTAATAAATTGTGAGGTGATTCCACACTTTAAACATGCAAACATCACTACCGCCGAAATCATGCATAGGTATTTTTCAATAATAGAAACTTCCAATCTATCCATCTCGCCTTGAGACCCAGCGAAACTCAAAGGAATCTTTTCACTATATTTCACTATATATTCACTTCTATTTTATATGAAGCTCACAACATTCTAAAAATCTTAAAACAGCTCCAAATAAAAAAAAATAGTTTTGCTCAAGTATAGAACACTGTGTTTGTTGCCATAATAATGCACAAATAAGTAAATATATTCAAAGAACTATCACTCCGACCGGAATTCGAACTCGGGACCCCTGGTTTACGCCCAGTTGCTCTACTCACTAAGCTAGCGAGACAGCAAATATTTGAACAGGTTCTCAGATCTGATGTATTGCTCGTTATTATTTATAATTGTCACTACCCAGTCACCGCGTCCAAAAAGTTGATAGGGTGGTGACAATTATAGGCACAAGTAAGTTTTCGTTAAAGTATCTAAATTTTCAAAAACTGCAAATGTGCACCTCCGTTATTGACGCTAGAAAGTTTTTTATACAAACGATTTGTCAATAACAGCACTTTTAAATTATTTCATGTGCAGTTGTTCGAAAATATTAGTAGTTTTCGTGTTATTGTGAATAATATTCGAATTTTCCAAAAATAATACCCAAGATTTTTACAAATTCGTCCATATATTTTCTTTAAGATTTTTTGTCCCAACAGTAATTTTCTTAATTGTACTTTTGCTGTACAGTTAAGCTATAATTTTGTAAAAACAGTTGAATTTTCAAGTTAAGCAAAAGTCCATAACCAATCTTCTCGGGAATAAAGAAAGACCTTTCAATGAGTATTTATTTTTCCACGAAACTGAAAAGTTAAAAATAAAAATTTAATTACAAAATTTAAATTCGAATTCAGAATGTATATAAGCTTTAAAAAACCAAAGTGATAATTTCGAACGTACATTTAATATTTCGATTCAGCAAAATATTTATTCAACAAAATGTTTTTCACGTTGGCGAATCGTTGGCGAATCTAAATATGAAATGAATGTCCTAAATATATTATATTTTATTTTAAGGACTTTTCTATATTTTAAAGTAGTCTTTTTGTTTTTAAATTTAATTGTTCTACTAATTGATCTTTGGCGAAGAATGGCAGGTACCATTTCTTCGAAAAGTTACGGGGACATCCCTATACGAGATGTTAAAATTTCTTGCAAAATTGGAGTTCCTAGTTGTAGTCATGAAGACAATTTGTAAAGATCAGATCTGTCTTCTGGTATTAAGTCCATTTTTCGATTTCTGCAGTGCAATGCAGGTTTAGGCAAAATACATATTTGCCTGGATGTATGGGGGGAGGAGGATAGTGGAATTCCTATTTGTACTGACTCCATTATCCCCTCCAGCTTATTTACTTTCATTAAATAGGCGCTTTCAAGAGAAAATACTGTTTTGAATTCATGTGATCCTTGAAATCAAAAGCGAGCTTACCGGGGAAAATTTTCGTGTCATGCAGATCAGTATTTTTTTCGTTGACACCAGAATCTGTTATATCTTTCATTAATCTATACCAGTGTATATTAATATTTCCGCCTTATTTGAGTGACTGTCTTTAAAATCTAAACTACAATAGTTTTTGGGAAATAATCAAGCTATTATTGTACTTTAAAAGTATTTTCTACGTACGATTTACACACTGATATGTCAACACTGTTGACTGGCTACGAGATGGAATAAAAATATTCTGAAACGTCGGCAAACTATTTTTTATGTCTTAATTGACTCCGACCAAATTCCGTGATCTACATTTCCGATTTACACTTCATAGTCATGATCTATAGTGTGAAATATAGTTATTTCTAAAAAGTTTCTCAAATCTACGACACAATGAATTTGTATGATTCGTGAACTTCTCTAGGTGTGATATAGATATGTTTAGTACGTGTCTATAAAAAATTAGACACAGACGATTATATTTAGAGATACAAGATGTTAACAGTTCGTTTTTATTTTAAACATAAAGAAATTATTGAGCAATAAATTCATTGTTATTGCAGAATGATGTCATGAAACTTTATTGACATTACGTCGAAATTAATACAACTTTGTGCAGAAATAACTAGCCAAGTTTATAACCGTCTGAATAATGTTTGAATTATATTGTTTCATTTATTTCAACGTTATAAAATGAAAGTGCAAGTTTCCGCAGTCGCGTAAATAAATACTTGGCTGTTCGGGAGACGTCGCGTCCTACGCAGAGTTGCCAATGTAAATGACTATTACATGTAGAGTAATAATTTTGGTATTCTCGAAGACCTCTGTTAAAATGAGCTGGAACAGTAACATAGACGTTAAGCAGGTTTTTTTTAAAAAGAATACACGTGTGAGAACTGATACCCAATCTTTGAAATAAGGTATAAATTATGACGAAGAATAAAAACAGAAAGGAAATTCGTGTTTCATTTAAATAATTCTAAAAACGTTGCACTTAAACATCGGTATAAAAAGCAAGGCTCTGTAGAAAATGTCATGTAGTTCTTGTAATCGATTCTTCTTCTACCATCAACGAATAGGTTTCGACGAATATATTTGAAGAGCTAATGTCAGCAGTCTCTCATTTGGCATCATTTCCAAATGTTCGCACCATTTCTTCTTTTAGCAGATATTTTGTCTAGCACAGGCGTGACTTCAGCTTATTTGTTATATACACATTCCCCTTTTTATCTAGAAAGGAGGGTTTTAGAGTACTCTGTAAACATTTTATTTCTGCCGCCCGAATTCTACTTTTATATATTTTCCAAGATTACTTTTAAATCACTTTAGAAGTACAGGAACGGAAATAGTATTAAAAAACTTAATACGTGTAGCTTAACGTGTTTTATTTTTTACTTTACTCTAAATGTATCCACGTATATTACAAAACGTATTTAATTTATCGTCTAATTCCTTGTCTTTTTTATACAAAACATTGCATTTTAAGTTATTTTAATTTAAAGCCTTTCACGTGTTCTAAAATTTTGTTGTCAATTGCAGGTTTCCTTCTAACTGGAAATTTGTTTCTAAAATCCATGGCTTTTTGTTGGTTCAAATTTTAAAATTGTATCTTCTTCACGGATTTACGCACTTAGAACCACGCGGATTCAACTCTTCTTGGCCTTTTTATTAGCACAATAATATCGCATACGCAATGAATGGGTCTGCTTTCTTTGCTCATACCATGTTTCGTTTGACTTTTTTTCCCACCTCGGAACTCTGCGATTTTGTAATTTTTCTAATTACATCATGATCTTGTAAATTTGGAGATCCCAATTTTCTAAGGTCCTTTTCTGTTTGTCAGTACCAATTCGGTCTGTTGGCTTTACTTTTCAAGAAGACATGAATCTGGTTTGTTAACCTGCTATCATTCTTTCTGGATGTCCGATAAATTTGATTTTTCGCATTCGCATTGAATCAGTGATTTTAGAAATTTGTTTAGAGATTTCCTCATTTGGTTTCGGATAATTTATATCGTTCTTGATGTTAGGGCCAAGAATTTTTCTCATAATTTTGCGTTCATTAAATTCTAACTAATGTTTTAAAGATCTATGTTAAAGGTTAAGGAATTTCTGATGCAAAGAGTGCATCCGGTTTGACTACTGTCTGGTAATGGCGAATATTGCGGATCCATGACAAGCACTTTTTGTTAGATATACTTTTTTAAATTGAAA